GCAGGACACACGGCACAGCAGGACACACGGCACAGCAGGACACACGGCACAGCAGGACACACGGCACAGCAGGACACACGGCACAGCAGGACACACGGCACAGCCGGTTCTGCCCACGTGGGAGTGGCAGCGCTGCTGGCAGAGCTGCAGAGCAGCACAGCAGGGTGGCTCTGCAGGGCAGCTCGGTGTCACGCGTGCTGGGAGCTGTGCTGGGAGCCGTCCCGGGTCTTCACGGCTGCTCTGTCACTCCTCCTTGTGTCGTGGCCGTTCTAAATGTGCTGGGATGTCTGTGGGGTGACTGGTTTGTGGCACAGCCCCGGCAGAGCAGGAGGAGGAGGGGACTGCTGTGCTGATCCGTGAGGTGTCTGACCTACGGCCGGGGACGCTGCAGGTGTCAGGCTGTGTCCGATGCTGATGTTCCCTGCCCCAGACCTTAACGTTTAGGTTCTCTAAAATCTCGCCCTACTTGACAACTGTAACCTGTAAGAATATATGGTACCTAAAGTGTGTGTAAGGGTATTTTAACTGGTGTGGTTTTATTAACTGAGTACTTGGAAATAAAACGAGATGCAGATACTGGGCAGCACAGGCTGATGGAGTGGCAAATAAAGAAAATACGCAGGATGGCAATGCGTTCAGGAAGGAGGAATGCAGAGATTCCATCCTGAAAAGGACTTGGATCAGCAGAGTGTGATGATTCAGTGTCTCACAGCTGAAGAATGTCAGAAGAGCTGCGTGCACATTAAATGGGAGGTAAGTTCCCTTCTGCTGGCAGGAGCAGTGCTGGGATGCTGCCTCCAGCAGTGGCCTCTCTTCAGAGATGGTCACAAACCTGGCTGTGTGTTGCAGGAGCCCGCAGCAGCTCTGGTTCTCACAGCGTTTTATCTTTCGGTGGTTGCAGCCCAGTCTGTATTCTGGTTTGCAAACCCTTGTGTGAATAACTGCCATCACGTGTCAAAACAAGGGGCTCAGCAGGGCTCAGAGAGGGGCTGTGGATGGATGCAAACAGGGCAGTTCTGCTAGGAGTGTAGCACTGGTATTCTCTCTCTTGCCTAAGTTGCACTGCTTATTTTCGCAGAGCAGCAGAGCTCTGTAATCGGGTACTGCTGCTTCCACATGGGCAGCTTTTACGAGGTGTGAGTGTTTGGGATATCTGAAATGTATTATGAAGATTGTGAGTGTTATTTTACGTGCCTAACATTACATTCCTTGGCAGGAACAAGCAAAGTAGGAGGGAAGGAAATAATAGGAAATAGCTTCAGGGTCCTTAAACAAATAGTGCAGGGAAATGCTTCCCTGCCTCCTGCAAAGCCAGGTTACAACAAAGCCTGGAATCAAAGGAGCACGAAACCACCAAGTATTTTGCCTAAAACCACCGAGTGTTTTGCAGCTGCTGGGGAACATGGAAAGAAACCACAGCAGATGAGCAGAGTTTGCCATAAAAGTGCAGAGAGAAGATTTTGATAAAAGCCAGCTTTACGCTCCTTTTAACCAACTCCTCTTCTGCATATCAGTGTAAATACTTCTTCCATGCTGTGCTGCTCGCCAGCCCCACTCTTAAAACGCAGCTTTCTCACAGATGTGCTGGGAACTGCTGGTGCAGTTGAGGCAGGGAAGTGGGAGGAAAAAGGTTCTGGGTCACCAGGGCTGAGTTTCCTTCTGAAGAGGAAACCAGGAATCCCTTCAGGGAATTTGGTTCTTGCATCGTTCTCCTAATACTTCATTTGGAATGGCACAGCTCAACCTGCAGAGTGCTGGCAGCACAGCTTTCGCTCCTGCGTACCTGGGTGTCAGTGTGCTGTGTGAATGGCAGTGGCTCCTGGCAGGGGTGTCCCGTGGTCAAACACCTCGTGGTCGCTTTCCGGGGGCTTTGATTTTGCCTTCGGTTAAAGTGTGAACTGTTCAGATACAGCCTCTGCCCGGAGAAATGCTCTGCTCTCCTTCTTTCCTTGGCACAGCTGTGAGCAGCTCAGGGCAGGCACCAATCCCATGAATGCACCTGGGCTAAAAAGCAGCTCATGTTCTGCCAAAGCAGCTGGAGCTCAGCTGCCAGAGGAGGACAAAGCGATGAGAGGCAGAGTGGAGGTTTTCCAGCAGCCTGCCCTCCTGGGTGAGTGCTGTCTGGCAGGACAGGTCAGAACTGCAGGCAGCCTGTCTTTGAAACGCCTTTCAGAGCCATTTGTGGTGTCAATAGGAGCTGGCATTCCTGGGGCAAGAAACCACGCTGTAAGAATCGCAGGTTGCATTTATCCACGATTTATCCGGGATTCTCGCTGGGGAAGCAGCAGGCAGCGCTGAATCTCAGCTGCGTTTGTTCCGTTTCACGTTCCTCATCTTCCAGCAGTCTCCACGTTCCCTGGAGGAAGGCAGGCAGCCGCTGTGCTGCTGTCGGAGCGCTGCCAGAGGGAACCTGCTGCAATCGTTCAGCAGCAGCTGGAGGAGCCCTGAGAGCCGGGGAGAGGACGCAGCCGGGGCTGCTGAAGGCATCCATCCGTCTGCCCTGGAGCTGCTGGCTCTGCTGGGCCGTGCTTAGCAGCGTCTTTCGGCTCGGCCAGCTCACGGCTGGCCGCAGCTCCGCTCGCTCTGGAATCTGGCACATGAGGGCTGCTTTGGAAATGTGCACGGATGCCTTCTGCTCGGGAAGAAGAAAACAGCGTCCCGTTCGTCATTGCTTAAAGCTCGCGTCCTGCCCTGGAAAGCGCAGCTCGGCTGAGGGAGGAGCGGCCGCCCGCATTTTGCTGCAGCGCTGCTCACAAAGCAGCTCTTTGCTGATTTATAAATGTTAAGAAACGCGGCAGGGATTTTGAATCGTTTTTACACTGCTCCTGTTAACACCCAGCCTGAGTTGGGGCATTTTAACTCCGGGTGCACAGATTTCAGTGGTCTCTACGCGGCCGTTTGCGTTTAAGTCCTCTCAGCTCGCCTGGAGAGCAGCGCGCCCAGCGCCAGAGGTGAGAAAATGGGCGCTGGCCTCCGTTGGCGGGAAGGCGAAGCCCCGCCCCGTCCCCGCCCCTCTTTATGAATCGACCAATAGTTAGCGCAATAAGTTGAAATTCATACCTGCAGGCCAACGGCGCGGCCCGCTCGGCTGCTGCCCGTCTCCGATTGGTTGAGCGGATCGTCTCGCCTCGCGGACTCCCCAATAGCACCGCGAAGGGGTGACGCCTCTGCACGAGGCTGAACCAATGAGCAACGCGCGGGGTGTCGGCCGCCCCGTCCCTCTCGCTATATAAACCGTCCCGGGAAGGTCGGCCGCGTTTGCGGTGCCGCTCAGACCCGTCGCGCGTCTGTCGCTCCCAGCGCTGCCGGCCCGAAGCCATGGTGAGCGGGGGGAGGGGCGGCAGCCGGCGCTGCTCGGCTCCGCGCGGCGTGGAGGGGCGGGGCGGCTCCGCCCGTGCGCGGCGGGAGGCGCGGGTCTGCCGCGGTGTGCGGGTACGGAGCGGGCGGGCCGGGGAGCGGCGGCCGTGCGGGGCCTCGTCCCAAAATGGTGGCGGCTCCTCAGAACATGGCGGCGCTGGGCCGGGAGGCTCCAGAGCGGGGCTGGGAGAGCGGCGGGCGGCAGCGCTGGGGGAGGCGGCGCGGGGGGAGCGGCGGGTCGGCGTCCGTCCGGCTGTGCGTCCGTCCTGCCGCCGCTCGCCGTGCCCCGCTCCGCGCCTTTGTTCCGCTGTTCGCTTTTCCTGGTGCCGCTCCGTGTCCGGGAGCCGCTCCCAGTTCTCCCCGTTCTCCCCGTTCTGCTTTCACGGGATATCCGTAACCGCTGACATTCGCGTTGCAGCCCGGCGGTGGCTGCTCCCGTCGCGGTGAAGCCCGCCCTGCCGCCCCGCTCGGCTCCCAGCCGCGCTCAGCAGAGCGGCTCCTCCTGCAGCACCGCGCGTCCTTTGCCTCGTTGAGATGCAGCACCTTGCTGGGCGTGCGGCATGCTTTGTGCAGGAGCCCCGGGGTCCTTCCTGCAGCGCTGCCTCCCAGTTCATTGCAGCCCTGTTCGAACCAGGGCACGGCGCTCGCTCTGCCCTCGGTGCTGCACGAAGTAAACATACACGTGTTCAACGCGGCACCACGGTTGTGCTGCCCAGGCCGAGGCTTTCTTTGTAACGAACGGCCTTGCTTGGTGTCATTTCAAGAAGTGCCACTCGTTCATTTGATGCTGGAAAGCTGATATTTATTTCGACCTTTTCCACGTCTCACCTTTTGGGGGCACGCTGGTCCCTACGCGTCCCGTCGGTGACCTTCGCAGCTGCCTGGGAGCTTTGCTAACAAAGCGCATCTCAGCAGTAGGTGTCACTGCAGGTGTGAGGCTGAAGTGGGGGAATTAATTCTGTATTTTCCCTCTCAGTGGAGGAAAGAGCCGTGGGCTGTCCTGAAGGGCAGCGTGACCTCATTGCTGTGACCTGGCATCTCTTGGACAGCACAGCCTTGCTGGGCTGTGTGCTGAAGCTGCTTTTCCTCTTGCTTTCTTTGCTATGTGGGTTGGCTGTTCTCTGCCATGGCAGTGCTTTGCAAGGCCCACTGCTCCCACCTGGACAGGGATGAAGCTGTGGCCCTGGAGAGCAGTGGGCTGGCAGCAGCTTTGTGTGGTTGGCTGCAGCAAGGCTGTGCATTGCTCTTCTGGAAGCTGTGTGTCTGAATGTACGGCTGAGATGGGGCTTGCTCTCACCTCTTCATCGCGTGTTCTCAACCACAGCGCTGTTCTTTAGCAAATAGATTGTGATTTCTGAAGGTGGAGCTCCCAAAGAAACAGAGAGTTTGCTCGTGCTTTCTTGCATTTGTTCCAGCTCCCGCTACCCTGCACTTTTAGGGAACAACTTGTATCACCCACTCATAGGGCCTGAGTAGTCCAGTGTGACTGACTCAAAGCTGTCCTGTGCTCAGCTCTTGTGGATTGCATTTTGCTCCGTCACTCAGAACGAGAAGTTGGTAAAAAGAAGGACGTGAAATGCCACAGCTCAGGAGCTTGGAACTGGTTCAGTTGTGGTTTGGCTCCTGGTGTTCAGAGCTGTGTGCTGCAATGTGAAGGAAGCTGGCGTTGTGCTCTGGATGTCAAATGCACCTTGGGAATCTGTGAATTGCTATGGATGATCTTCCTGTTTTGGCACGATTTAAACGAGGCCCAATTTTGTTCAGTCTCAGTTTAGCACTCGTACAGCAGTGCAATGTGGGGCCTGTTTCAGCCTTCAGCAGCAACAGGAAGGGTTTGCTTAGGGAAGGATTCCTGGTGGAGCTCCCTGAAGTGATCGGGGTATTTTTTCTGATTTTACGTGCATTAACCGAGATGGATGGTGGATGCCATGGATCTTAGGGAGGTTTCACTCCCTCTGGCTTCTGGGCTTGGAGTGCAGGGGTGTTTTTCTGGAGGCTTAGGCCAGTGACGTGCAGTCATCAGTTCATCTAAATCACTGCCTGTGATCACAAACGTTGGCTGAAGGGCTCAGATGAGTTCAGCTCTCCCGGTTTGGTTGAGGGTAGAGGAGAGATGAGTCTGTAAAGATGACATTGTCCCGAAGGGTCTTCCCAGGTGGGTGGCTGAAAGGATCTTTTGTCCTGCTGAGTTTGTGCCCGGTGCCCTTAACACCAAGACAGTAAGGCCAATGTTCAAACAGCCTTGCAATATGGGAGCTCAAGCTGTGTGTGCTGAATGTTTTGTAAACAAGGAAGCTGCTGTTTCTGCCAGTGATCCAAGCTTTTCCTTCCCACAGCGTGAGTGCATCTCAGTCCACGTCGGTCAGGCCGGGGTGCAGATTGGAAATGCCTGCTGGGAGCTGTACTGCCTGGAGCACGGCATCCAGCCCAGCGGGACCATGCCCAGCGACAGAGCCATCGGCGGAGGCGACGATTCCTTCAATACCTTCTTCAGCGAGACTGGAGCAGGAAAACACGTCCCTCGTGCTGTGTTTGTGGACCTGGAGCCAGCAGTGATAGGTAAATACAGCGATGTACGCAGGAGACTGTAGTGCCAGGTTGGATTTAACTTGCACGCTTTGCCCAAGGGATCCATTCCTTGACGCATGAAGTGCTTTGGGGCTTTGAATTCTTACTGCAGAAAGGCTGCCTACATCTTCCTGGTAATGGGGGGCGCTTGGCTCTGTGTTCAGTAGGACTCCAAAGGATTAAACACCACCTTCTGCCAACCTGCAGAATTAAATTCTGAACGTGCCACACGCTTTTGCTGCAGAAGATAGTTATAACCTCTTGAAAGCACACGGAGTGGGATGTTCAGTAGGCACAGGTGCCTTTTTAGAAAGCTGTAATATACCTCATTAAGCAGATTTCTTGTGTATAGCATTATTCCTCTGCTTTCTCAAAGCACTGTTCTGGCCTCTGTCCTGCTGTGTCTGAGGAAATGAATCTCAATTGCACATCTAAAATCAGATACATTAAACATGTACTTCGACTTTGTGCCCCCCGATCTGTGACCACCCCCCTTCCCCTGAAAATCAGTGTTATCCCCTGCTGTGGCAGCGCTGGCTCTTCACGCTCACCCTCACTGCGTGCTGCTGGCTGCTCTGTCACCAGTCTGTGCCTCACTAATCCTGCTGAGTCAGACTGGGGGCTGTCTTTGCCCTCAGTGGTGACTCTGGGTGCTCAGATCTGCGCTGCCTATGCTTGTACAGTTGCTGTGTTTATGTGCTCTGTTTAATACGTAAAAAGTTGTGAAGGGAAGGAGTGAAAAGGCCAAAGCTACTCCTATATACCCCAGGAGTGAGGGCTCCCTGCAGCTTACTTTAATTGTAGCAGCCCAAACCATTCTGTGACCTGCAGGAGGCAGGCTGCTGGGCAGGTTAGGCTGAACATTCAAATAGAATTAACCGTTTAGGTTGGAGGTTACCTTCAAGGTCACCAAGTCCGACCATCAGTCTGACCCATTGAGTCCTTCACTAAACCCTGTCCTTTAATGCTGTGTCCACAGCAGGGCACGTTTTGACCCTTTGCCAGGAGCTGTGGCTCATCAGCTGTAGTTTCCCTGAGCCCCACAGCTGTTGCTCCCTCTGCTGCTGGCCGGGTGGTGGCTCTGAGCAACCAGGAAAGGCTGAGGAAGGAGGTGAGGAAGAGCAGCTGGCAGAGCTCGTGCCTTGCTGCTGGAGGAGCAGCTGCCGAGCCGTGGGGCAGCTCTACGTGGCGGTGTTCATTAGCGCTCGCTAATGATGGAAGTGCAGCATGGGAGGTGGGCAAAAGGCCGCCTGATGAAATGCTGGCAGTGCTGAAGGAGCTGGGCCTCTTGTTAGCAGGGTGACATCGCGGGCCTTTGGGGGTCAGCACTCTGTCCTTATGCTGCTCTGATTATTCTTCCTGTGCAAGCGCTGTGCCCCGCTGCGCTGTCTCAGAACATCTCTGTGTGCAGCACCCTACAGATGCCATGTGTGAGCACTGGGGGTTGCTGGGGCTTCCTAATAATGCTGCCCTTGGTGAAAGCAAGGACTGCAGCATGCGTGCACCAGCTCTGTGCGTGGTGTGTAAAATGCTGCCAGAGCTTCCTGCAGGAAGTAAGGCAGGAACCTGTCCAGAGTTTGATGGAAGTGACTTAAATCTCCCATGGTGAAACACAAATACGAGGAGCAGGTGTGCAGAGGGCAGCTGGGTTCTCCTGCCTGCTGGCCAAGGGTTATTCCTCATAATTCTCCAAGTTGTTCATGCAAGAGCCGTTAATGCTGGAGTTTACTTTTGCTCTAGTAATATTTGAATAACGTCTGTTCCTTTAGAACATTCCCTTCTGCCCTTGGCAGAAAGCACAAGGAAAGGAAAGAAGGTGATAAGCCAGCAGTGCAGGCTCTGAGCGCCCATTGCAGCAGCAGTGTGGATGACTTGGGAAACGTGGGGAAAGGCGGTGCTTCAGACCCTCTTTGCAGATGAGCATCAGAAGTTGAGTCCCCAGCTCAGCACAGTGATTCTGCTTTGTAGTCTGGCTGCAAATAGCTCTGGCAAGCGAAAAACTGCTTGTGAAAATGGGGCGGCTTTCTGGGCAGTGGATTTTCTCAGGTGTCCCACGCTTTGGCTATGCTGGGCACTGGGCACCATCTGCTGATAGCAAGAAAACCAGTTCCTTCTTATCTGTAAATAAGGGCAAGGTACCTCAGTCTGAACAGCCTCAGAAGCTCGAAGGATCTGCATACCTGGAAAAGCAACGTCTTAAAAAACTCTCTTGTCTCTCCAGATGAAGTCAGGACTGGGACATACAGGCAACTCTTTCATCCCGAACAACTGATATCTGGTAAAGAAGATGCTGCAAACAACTACGCTCGAGGTCATTACACAGTTGGGAAGGAGATAATTGACTTGGTCCTGGAGCGCATCAGGAAACTGGTAAGGCCTCTCACTGCAAGCACTCAGATGAGATTCTTTATCCTGTTTTACAGGATTTGGAGATGAGGCTGTCAAAACAGATAGGCCTATGAGTTCTGCTTTAACTTGTTGCATGGTTGGGAAGTTGTGCGGTTACTTTGCGTGCGTCCTTATCCTCAGCTTGCTGAAGTTACTCCTGTTGGATGGGGCTTTCAGATGGCCTGAAGTGCTGATGAGATGCCCAACATTTTATGTCTTCGTGTTCAACTTCAGAAAGCCGGGTGTGAGATTATCTTCTGATCTGCATGGTTCCTGCTGGAAAGGGATTATGGCCTGGCTGGGGCTCTTGCAAGGAAGGTTAAGTTGGTTTAGCTCACATGGCTTAGACTTCTCTTGGAATTTCCTTCAGTTGTAACTTCTGACTCAGCTTTACTGTAGCAGCAATAGAAGACCAGTAAATCTCAGTGGCCTGTGATAGCTCAGTTTCCCTGGTGCTTTCTTCATGTGGTGATCCTGAGGATGACAATGTAGGTTAGAGTTCCCTTTTCTAGAGCAGCCAGCATGTACTTCACCAATATCACAAAGGCAGGGTGTTCTCATTGCATAAGATTTGAGAGTTTACCTCTGGTGCTTTAACATGGAATGCTAAATGAGTTATGAAAGATGCAGCTTCTGCAGATCAAAGCTGGTATCGAGAACTTGGCTGCCGCAGGCTCTGATGCCGAGTCTGGACTTTGACCTGAGAAATGTGGTCATAGTTTCCCTCCAGAAGCTGTTTTACCTCCCTGTCAGCCCTGGCAATAAAGGTAGGCATCGTGCAGCACTCTGCTGGGGAATGCAGCCTGGCTTCATCTGAGAATGGTGAAGCAATGCAGTTTGACAGCTGGTCTCTGACATAAGCTGCGTGCCCACAGCCCTCGCAGGATTGTAGCAGTAGTTGTGGCACGGGTCAGTGCTGCATCTTGTGCAGGAAGGGAATGTCAGTCAGTGCGAGGGTCAGGCAGTTTATTGAGCAAGGCAAAACTCAAAGAACTATGATGCTACTGGCCTTGCAGAGAATGGAAGCAGAAAATGTTTTGAGGCAGTAACTTAGGAAGAAGTGGAAAGGTTGTCTTCCAGTATGTTGGTGACTTAAAACTGCTAAGAATACCAGTTTGGAATGGGGTTTTTTGTTGTTGTTTTTGTTATTTTTGGAGACGCTTCCATGGCTAATGGTACAAGAATTGAATGTTACTTTCCTGAAGCTTGGTCCGTTGGTACGTCAGGTTTGAGTGGCTGCGTGAGTCTGCAGTAGGCTGGTTTGGGGTTCGTGATGCCTGTACCACTGCTGTGACACGTGTATTTTCTCTTTCAGTCAGACCAGTGCACTGGTTTGCAGGGTTTCCTGATTTTCCACAGCTTTGGGGGAGGCACCGGCTCAGGTTTCACTTCCCTGCTGATGGAGCGCCTGTCTGTTGACTATGGGAAAAAGTCCAAATTGGAATTTGCCATCTACCCTGCACCACAGGTCTCAACAGCTGTCGTTGAGCCCTACAACTCCATCCTGACCACCCACACCACTCTGGAGCATTCTGACTGTGCCTTCATGGTGGACAACGAGGCCATCTATGACATTTGCCGTAGGAATCTGGACATTGAGCGCCCGACCTACACCAACCTCAATCGCCTCATTGGTCAGATCGTGTCTTCCATTACTGCTTCCCTCAGATTCGATGGTGCCTTAAACGTGGATCTCACGGAATTCCAGACTAACCTGGTGCCTTACCCTCGTATCCACTTCCCGTTGGTAACGTATTCCCCAATTATTTCAGCAGAGAAGGCCTATCACGAGCAGCTCTCTGTGTCTGAGATAACCAACGCGTGCTTTGAGCCTTCCAATCAGATGGTGAAGTGCGACCCTCGCCATGGCAAGTACATGGCCTGCTGCATGCTGTACCGGGGGGGATGTGGTCCCCAAGGACGTCAACGCTGCTATTGCTGCTATCAAAACCAAGCGCACGATCCAGTTTGTGGACTGGTGCCCTACTGGTTTTAAGGCAAGTCTCAGTTACATCACGAGCCTTTGTTTTGTTTTTAAGGCTAATCGCCGTAATGCTCTTATTAAGCGTATTTTGTCATTAAAATGTGTAGGTGGGCACCTGGTTTGTGTTGAGAAATGAGTCTTAGTGTTATTGTGCAGAGCTGCTTCCTCTGCCTTCTTTGACTGTGGTCACTACTGAATGCTACGAGGAAACTCACGGTCTTCTGTGCTTCTCCCGTAGGTTGGCATCAATTACCAGCCACCAACAGTGGTTCCTGGTGGGGACCTGGCCAAAGTGCAGCGGGCGGTGTGCATGCTGAGCAACACTACAGCCATTGCTGAGGCGTGGGCTCGTCTTGACCACAAGTTCGATCTGATGTATGCCAAACGTGCCTTTGTGCACTGGTATGTTGGAGAAGGGATGGAGGAAGGGGAATTCTCAGAGGCTCGGGAAGATTTGGCTGCACTTGAAAAAGATTATGAAGAAGTGGGCACAGACTCGATGGATGGAGAAGACGAAGGCGAAGAATACTGAACACAGCCAAAGTGAATTGCAGGTCTTCTCCAGGGCCTTCTTATTAGCAGTGTAAATCATGTCTAATGATTGGAATAAACTTCTTTAAGACATCCAGTAGTGTCCAAACACTGTATCTTCATCAGCTGTACTCAAACGGTCCATAGTCTAAGACAGCTGTCTGAGAAAGCTGAATAAAGTAATCAGCTGCAGCTAGAAGTTACTGTCCGTAAGGCACTGCTGTTTGAATAGTGCAGATTTGCTCCCAAACTGCTCTAAAGTAGAGTTGGTGTTTGTGAGTAATTGAGAGAGCAAGCAGGAAAGGGAGATGATGTTCTGGTGTGCAGAAGCAGGGGGAGCTCTGGGCCCTGTGGTGGTTGCCCTGCTGCTTTGTCCTCCTGCAGTCCCTGCCTGCTGTCTGCACGGAGCCTTCAGTCTGAAGCAGAACCTCAGTTAGCTGTTGGGGTCAATCAGCACTTTTCCCTAGAAGTGATTATTTTGCAGAAATGGTAAGTTTGTTGGTTGAGCTTCATGTGGAAGGCAGAAGGAAGGACTGTAACTTGTGTGTCTGGTGTAATGGCAGGATTTGGCTGATGCAGTTATCTGCAGATGTGAATACCTCTGAAACATTCTGCGTGCTCTGGGTGGAGGCTTGGGAACGCAAAGCACAGTGATCCCCAAATAACCTATTTCCATTTCTGCCTTAGATGGGTGGTTATTAAATCTCTCCCACGGAAGTTGTAAAGGGAGAATAGTCAAATATGTCATGGTGCTTGAATATTGATGTTCACACGGTGCCACAGTCTGTAAGAGACTGGATTTGAGTGGAAAATAACTCCCAGTCCTATTTCAACCTTACTTGTTTTCCTTCTGACTTGATGAACATGATTTAGGCTAAGCCTGGAGCCTGTGTTAGCTGATGAAGGTGAGTTATACCTGCTTGGCAGGAGTCTGGGCTGTGGTAAGAAAAACGCCTTACATTCTGTGTAAGGAAACCTACGGTACCCAAATAATGCTGCAGTGTCTGATGTGGACTCGCAGAATGAAACAGAGATCAGGGAAAGACACTGACCAACTGTAGAGTATTCAGAGTCCTCTTGACAACTTATTTTCCTGTTGATTAGCTAATTAAGTAAATGTGCTAGATGTAGCCCAGGAGGCAGATGCACTCATTGCAAGTCAGATTGACTTCATTTCCTTGCATGTATTCAGACTTCTAATGTGTTGGCAATGCCGTGAGCAGTGCTTGAGGAGGCTGCTGCATGCCTTACAGGTTTGAGGGCTTTGGCTTAGGACCTCAGACTCAGGTTGTGTGAAGGCCCTGTGACTGCTGGTGCCAGCGCCACGGCTGTCCTTAGAACCTGTGTGCTGGGGTGCAGGCAGTGCTTTCCTGAACTGACCTTCAGCGTGGGCTTTCAGCAGTGATTTGTCATCTTCCTATCTGGGATTCTTTTGGTTTTGTGAGGCCTGCCTGCAGCCTCCTGCTGCTGCAGTTCATTGCTTTACTGTACGCCAGGATTCCCTTTCTTAGGACACCGCTCCCCTCGTGATGGGAGCTGCCTTGCACTACGCCAGTGCTCCCTGTGCGGCACGCAGCCATGGATGAGCTGCTGCAGGGCGCAGCGCTGCACTGCATGCTGTGAGGGCTCACAAGTGGAGTCTGAGTTCTCTGAGAACCTGGATCCAGCCGGGGCATCTCGCTCACTGTGCTCATTGGGTCTGAATGCATTCTGCTTTCACGTGTTAAAAACAGCGTGTGCTGTTTTAATAGAAGTAGAAAAATGATAAGCTGCCACTGACAGGTTGAACAGGGGATGCTTTGTCACCTGTTTGTTCACTGGGCTCAGGCTGCAAGCGCTGTGCATCCAGGCTGCGTCGTGCGCTGCTTTGCTTGGTAGCAGCGTTGAGAAACACATTGCATTAACTGGTGAGCACTGAACCCTCAGTGTAGTCATAACTCGCAGCAAGTGAAGATCAGATGTAAAGCAGAGATAATTACAGCAGGGAGATGCTGCTGAATGCGCCTCACTAGATAAGAAGCATCCCCTACTTGTGCTCAGAAGGAGCCGTGTGCCTGTCGGAGCAGGCGATACCTGATGGGAGCTAAAAATACCTTTACCTGTGGTGACACAGCTTTCCTCCAGTGCTGAGATTGGCAGTCAGTGGCCATGACCTGATAGGGCAACGCTGACTCACGGGGAGGAGGAGGAGGAAGTGAGCAGGCGCCTTGGTGAGCCGGCTGTGCGTGGCTGGGAGGTCTGTCCCACGCTGCTTCTGGTGCCATTGCGGGGAAATGCAGGGCAACAACTTCATTTCCACCCACTGCCTCTGAGTGAGGCAATAAGTGAGCGCTATCTGTGTGGATGGACTCGGTATTAAGGATTCTCTGATTCACCTCGTGCCTTTGCTGCTGTGTGGCAGCAAGGGGAGTCGCAGAACAGCACCCCCGTGGCAGTTCAGTTGTTTATTGCAAAAATCTGGAATGACTGGCAGAGCTGGGGGAGCAGCAGCATCAGTTCACTGCTTTGCTGCTGTGCACTTGTAGGTGGTTGAGTCACCTTGTCCCAGGCCTGCAGCCTTCAGCCTTGCTGAGCCCTCTGCTGCAGTACTGCTTATCCCTGGGCAGCGCAAGGTGAGCAAGGAGCAGTCGTTCAACGCTGCCATTTTCAGCCAAGCCTGCACAAACAGCAGCAGACAGATCTTGCCATCTGAACTGCAGTGCTGCTAACTACAGAAGCCTGGACTTGTGCCTTTGTACAAGGTCATGTTTTCTCTTATGTAGGGCATGCTTCACAAAGGCAGAACTTCAGTTGTGCATAGTCACAGTGCAGAGATCCTCTAAACAGGGCAGTTTTCACTTTATTGCTGAAGTTTTGTGTAAACCTAAAAATTCATAAGTGTTTTTTTTTTCTCAATGTCTTTGATGTTGAGTTCATATTTCTTTTCCATGTCTTAGAAGTTTAGGAAGAAGTCTATTAAAGATAGAGATACTGTGTCTTGTATAGGAGCTGCGCATGACCAGAGCTTGGAAGGTACAGAGGAAGGGTAACCGAGCCTGCAGCCAGGAGCAGGGCTGAAATGGAGCAGGGCTGTTGCTGTTCCCTGCATATTGCTGCTTGAAAACCCATTGCTGAGCTTTGCTAGTCAGCAGTTCATCAGAGGTGGGTGAAGGAGGTACCTGGGCAGTTCAGAACTGCCAAATTCCTGTGCCTTGTTTGGTGGGTTAGATTCATTTCTCCATTTATTAGACCTGAGTTATCTGTAGTAAGGGCTGGGTGTCGAGGGTTCTTTTACAGGGTTAGGGAACAGAACAGACAACTTCCCTCTGTTCCAGGTGCCGGTCCTGGAGCCATGCGGATGATTTCTGCAGTCCGTGCCTCCTGAAGGTGTTCAGTCCAGATCAATCCTTTGCCAAAGCATCTCAAACTCCACCCGCCTGTGCTCACTGCACCTTTTTTGTCACTGCTTTGTTCCTGTGAGACAGAGGCCTCCACAAGGCTGCTGTCAATGTTTATTCAGACTGCTTTCTCAGTGGTGGCTGCTGGAGGTGCACACTGCGATGCTGTGTGGTGGGAGTGAATTCCAAGCCGTGTTCTTGAAGGCTGCCAAGACCTCAGGCATCTCCCTGTCATTTCTGTCAGAGCTCTGTGGCTGCAGCTCTCACACACACTGCAGCCTTGCACCATCGCCACATGCAGGGGCTGCTTTTGTTTGGCAGCACTGAGGGTCTGTGGCTTTTTGGTTCTTTCAAAGCAGTTTGCAGAACCTGCTGTGGGTGAGAGCTGCAGGAAGGCAGCGTTTGAAAGATGCTGAAACACTTCTGTAAAGCCATTGTTCCTCCAGCGGCTCTGGAGCTGATTTCATGCAGTTCTGCACTGTCAGAGCTGTGTTGCATACGGAGTTGCTTTCAGTTCTGTCTGTGCCTGCTGTTGTGGGACAGCCTGAACTGCTAACTGCTGCATCCCATCTCCCTGGCACTCCTGTCACCAGGCGGTCTCGCCTCTGTGCTCGTGCTGCTCTGACGCTGTTTTTGTGTGAAGTAGATAAGAAAATTAATCCAACCTTGGGGCAGGAAGAAGGACAAAGCTCTCTCTCAGTTTCATGAGCTCTGGTGGCTCAGCACAGGGTCACCTGAGTGCCACAGCGGGCAGGAGGGAAGCTTGGGGTGCCATGGGGCAGCTGCAGCTGAGCTGAGCCTCTACTACTGGTGCTGACTGGGGCAAAATGGTTTCTGTCTTTGATCTTCACAACTTAAATGGAGTGTAGATGTGGCAGGCAGAAGCACGTGCACGCATCAGTGGAAGTGTCCCAGTCACGTCTCAGTGCATTATAGAACCATTCCTGCTGTTGTCCACAGATACTTTTGGGAAGTGTGAATGTCTTGCAGCCAGCACATATGGCGCCCAGCAGTGGAGGGCTGCCTCATCCTTGGATCATCTCACCATTCAGGCGATGGTTCCTGGCCCTTCTACACAAAGTACTTCTGTTTCTTGTGTTATTCTCTTTGCTTTTTAGTGTTTATCTTCCTGTTTTCAAATTCCGGCTGTTTCTTTACTTGTTCACTGCTGTTACAGATATCAACAGTGTGTTTAAGTTCCAGCTTTGTCTATTGCAGCATATGTGCGCTGCCTTCATTATCTGCAGTGCCTACAACTATTTGGTGTCTACTGAGTGTGTCTGTGTATTAAATTTGCTTGCTAATGCTGAGAGGGACAGCTTGTCTGCACGTTGATTTAGACCTTGTTTATTTTTGATCAGCTGCATTAAATACTCACGTGTGTCTATTGCAGAATGCTTCTGAAGCTCTCAAGAGCCAACACTGCCATGTTTGGGCCACTGCAGGTGCTGGCAGATCAGGAGCAAGCCTTACAGTTCTGCTTGTTGCCACTGGCAGCTGATTTTCTTGTCCAGTCCTGCACTCCCTTGCAAAAGATGCTCTGTTCTGGAAGCTTTGTATCATCTGCCAGGCGCTCAGGGTTGTGGAGATGGATGTGGGAAGCCAGGCCTGCCAGGGCAGTCCAGATTTTTGGAAAAGCCGTTCGAAAAGCCCTCCAAATGCAGTGCATTCTGAGGGGCCTGATTTGTGTTTATTTGAGGAGTTTATTAAATTCTTTCCA